GCAGTCCTACTAGCGAAGGACGCGATACGGCCGGTCCCTCCAGCCGATATGAAGTCAGGGCACTACAGTTCCTACTTCATTGTACCCAAGAAAGGTGGTGGGTTACGACCGATCTTGGAGCTGCGAGTTTTGAATCGGAGCCTCCACAAGCTACCGTTCAAAATGCTCACACACAAACGCATCTTCGAATGCATCCGTCCCCGAGATTGGTTTGCAGCGATACAGACGCGTTTGCAGACACGTACTTTCATGTCTCGAAAAGGCTGAAAAGGCCGCTGCAGGGCAGGGACGTGCTGGTCCGTACAGACAACACTGCGACCGTTGCGTATATCAACCAGCAAGGTGGTCTACGCTCCCGTCGCAACTCGCCCGTCATCTCCTCCTCTGGAGTCAGAAGCATCTGAGGTCGCTTCGAGCCATGTATGTCCCCGGTGTGCTCAACCATGTGGCCGACGAGCTGTGCTCCTGGGAGAATGGCGACTCCACTCCCAGGTGGTTCAGCTGATCTGCAGAGAGTTCGGGGAGGCTCAGGTAGACCTGTTTGCCTCCTCCTCCCACTGCCAGCTGTTTTACTCCCTGACCGAGGGAACACTCGGCACGGACGCACTGGCACACAGCTGGCCCCGGGGCCTTCGCAAATATGCGTTTCCCCCAGTGAGCCTTCTTGCGCAGACACTGTGCAAAGTCAGGGAGGACAAGGAGCAGGTCCTTCTGGTGGCTCCCTACTGGCCCACTTGGACCTGGTTCCCAGAACTCATGCTCCTTGTGACAGTCCCTCCCTGGCCCATTCCTCTGAGGAAGGATCTTCTGACTCAGAGACGGGGCACCCTTTGGCACCTGCGTCCAGACCTCTGGAAACTCCATGTCTGGTCCCTGGATGGGACACGGAGGTTCTAGGTGACTTAAACCCAGAGGTACTTAACACCATCACTTCAGCACAGGCGCCGTCCACGAGATGTGTCTTGGCCAGCTTCCCAAGTTTGGCTCCTCAGCAAAAAACTGAAGTGCAATCTCACAGCCGCTCGTTATATACCCGCGCTGACGAGGACGCGCAGCTGTTGCAAATGATTGCATGCCAATGTGCATTGGCTTGTTTTAGATTCACTCGAAGTAAATTGGCTCAACTAGTGAGATTCCTATAGGTCAGTCTGACCTACGTGTCCATTCCCTCCCTCAGGGAACGAGGGTTACCATATGTAACCGAGACGATAACTTTTAAGGTGATTATTATATTTTCTGGATCTTGACATTCAATGGTCTATGCTTTCATTGTATGGAAAATAGTGTTTACATTTTGCTAAATACTTTTTGTTTTCCACTGAAGAAAAAAAAGTCAGTATGAGGATGAGTAAATTATAGCGAATGTTTATTTTTGGGTGAACTATTACTTTTTAACTGAAGTAGATTTGTCAATACTAAATCACTTTTATGAGCAATTTTCTAATATTCTTAGCACATGAATGTTGTTGGTCAGAAAGTCAGAGCTCTCTCACTGTAAGACTTTACACAGCTGGTGTCACGTGTCTGTCCTGTCTTGTGTTGCACATGGGTGTTTTTTAATGTTGGGCCATGTACCCCAGTCATTGTTTGATCCCTCCCACTTGTTACCTGATTAGTGTTTGAGTTCTTCCACCTGTTCCCTCTTGATTTGTTCCCTATTTAAGTCTCCTCTTGTTTGCTGTCTTTGTCGGATCTTTGTCTTTAGTTACCCCAGTTTCCCTGTGATGGTAGTCATGTTCATAGTCAGTGTTTGTTCTCCTAGTTCAGTGTTGTTATATGTTTCATTTATTATGTTTTCCCCCTTGTGGGTTTTTGCTTTGTATTTTGTTTTATTTTGTTAATAAATAATCCCTTCACTGCACTTGAGTCCTCCTCTCCACTTTTGTAAATTGTATCGTGACAGCTGGTGAAGAAATTGAGGCTCTTGACCGAACAAAAGATCCTCATTGGGGAACTAGTATCATAATCTGGCAAAGTTGTTTCACTTCTGATTCAACATAATCAGAGGTCCTTAAATTATGTCAGCATGATGTTGAACAGTGTTTCAATGTTTGCAAAAACATTTCATGAGAGAGTTGCATATAAATGTTACTTTGTTGTTTATGTTTTACAAAACATTAAAGAGTTTGGTAACAAGACATGTCAAAAATATGCTAAAAAAAGATGAAATTATATATTTTATTTATCACCCCTTCCTATCCATCTGCCCAGATGTGCATCGTCCTCTCAGCTCACCAATTCTCACTAATTACATCTCTGGTGGCAACAAATTCAACCTCTATCTCCAAATAGAGAAGGACATTGGAAGATACTATTCCCGCATTCCAGATTGGCATGGTTTTACTTCAGTTAGCCTAATAGCTGGTTTGATTTGCATTGAAAGATGATCTTATGGAAAGTACCCCATGCCAATCTCTAGGTGTGGTGGAAGGTGTGTGATGATGTGGGGATATTTTAATTCCAAAGGCCAAGGGAACTTTATCAGGATGCATATTAGCCTGGATCCATGAAATAACTGGCTTTTAAAAATAAAAATCTGCCTGACTCTATGGGAATTTAACATAGGGGGGCAATGACTTATGCACCCTGTATTTTAGGAAAAACTTTTATTTATTTATGATACATTATTCATTCACAAAGAAAATTTGTGTCCTTAAAGGTTGGAGTTTTCCTCATTTTTCTAATTAAGGCATTAAGATCAATATCCAAAAAATGATTTTTTATTCCTCTTTTTAGGCAACTTTAGCATGGGGGCAAACACTTATTCACACCACTGAGTCTTTTCAGAAATCTGTCATTGCAGAAAAGCACCTTGAGACAACTGTTTCCTGTTTGTAATTAATCTCTGTGCTCCCAAAACAGGATAAAGGCAAGAACAGGAAACTTGATGGCATGTCTTTGTTTGCACTTGATTGTATAGTTGTGTTATATTAAATGTTAACCTGGCAGCATAGGTTACTTTTTTCAAAAAGAATATATTATTTAATTGAATGAAACTCAGATGAAAATACAACCCTTCATACCACTTTTACAACTTTTAAAGTAGTTCACTTAAAAAAAAAACCTCTTGCTGATAATTTACTCACCCTCATATGGCCTCAAGACAACATATCCATGTCATTCTTTCTTCAGTCGAAAAGAAATTAAGGTTTTGGATGAAAACATTCCAGGATTTTTGGTAACGCTTCCTTTTACAGTACAGTACTTACAATGTACTTACCAAGTACTGGCTAATAAGGTAAGTACATGGAACAGGGGTAGGTTTAGGGGTAGGTTCAGGGTTAGTAGTACTAGTTATTACCCAGTAATTGTAATGCACTTTACTGGCCACCAAACGGTTGAAGGTCCAAAAGACCAAACTGCAAACTGTTCAAAGGGCTTTAAACGATTGCAGACGATTAATAAGGGTCTTATCAAGCGAAACGATCGCTCATTTAAAAAAAAAATATAACAAAGTTTTATAAGCACAAAAGCTCGTCTTGCTCTCTTCAGTGATGTGAGTTAGTGACTCTCCTGTTCAAACTCATTCATCAAAATGAACGAATCTTTTTCTGAGTCATGTGGTTCATTCAACGAACGAAATTAACGAAGTGACTCGGAAAAAGATTTGTCCTAAGGATTATTATTCATTTATTTTAATCATTTGGGGGTGCTTTGGGGGCCCTTAACATGCTCAAAAACTCTTTGTACACATGTCGCAATCATCGGCCATTAGGGCACAGAGGTGGGGAGGGGGTCTCTACAGTGCCCCCTTGGTACTACAGTGCCCCTCAACTTGGTACATATATCATACATTCTTGCACATACTGTATATGTAAGCAACTTTGTACACATGTAGTTCTCATTGAGTTGAACAGCTTCTGCACTGCAAGACATAAGTTCCATTCGACAGGAAGTCAGCTATTTAGAGTTTTGTGGAAAAACGCACACACTGAACTTTTTAATACTCCTCCAAGGGGATTCAAGTGATTGCTAAGACATGATGGCAAGACAATAGGCCTATGTCACGAAAAAACTGAAAACCAGAAGAATGTTTTTTAGTAGGGATACGGCTCTTCCGGTTAGCTTTTTACAATGGTGGAGTTCGATAGATACCGCTGGACCAAATCTCTGCCTGCCTGAAGTCACATATGACGATGTGGTTCGGATGGTAAATGAAAACTCTCAAGCGTGAAAACTGATGTATGGCTGTCTACGTCCTGATCCAGAGCAACCCGGTACACTACAACAACAGCCACGGGTAGCTCTAGCCATTCGCCATAAAAGTAAACGTTTCTATGGTAACAGCGAGTTGGACCAATCAGCAGACGTTGCTACTAGTCTTAGGATTGTGGGTAGTGTAGTTTTTTTTTTTTTTTTCATAAGATCGCGGATAAAACTTGTTTTTCTTAAAACAAGGTTGATTTCATAGAAACTTATAGATTCAACAGGAGCAAAAACTTTCATAGCTTGTGGTCAGTCTACCTCGGATGGTTTAGACATTAGGGCTGATAATCGAAATCCTTATCAAGAAATACTGTTGACCGGAAGTTCAATTCTAGTCAGTATAATCCAAAGACCTCTGCAATGCTAAATTGTAGTTTTTGAGTTTTCATTGAAATGAGTGTTTGTGGCGGCCTGACAAATTTTTGTTTTGGTGTGAAACAGGAGATTTTTGTAACTCAAACAATGTCCAATCTGCCCCCAAATTCCAGTGTTTGTTCAGAGTTCTGGCCTGCAGAGATCTACATGCCAATATCCAGTTATAATTATTGGCAACATGAACTGACATGTTTTATACTGTAATCCACCTAGTTATGCACAAAGTTGTAAGGGCCCGATCAATGATGCTTGCGGCTTTAATTAATTATTTCTTTCTTTCTTTTCTAAATTTGGACTCATTTCTTTATTTTAAAGATGATTTCACCCAGATAAATGAGACATTTCTGACTAAAAATATTCATATAAATGAAATCCCCACATCTAAAATCCTGTAAAATCAGAAACACAGAATCTCAATATTCTTTAAAAAAAATCTTTTATTATTTTCAGATTTTCTTGCCTTTGTTATACAAAGATGTTAAATAACTTAAATACATTCTTACCAGTCATTCATGATCAGTTTATACCTACAAGCTATACACATGAGGTAGAGGAAAATAATTTAGAGGAAATTAGTTTCCAATAAGACAAGAAAAAGTGGACAAAGACAAACTACTGAAAAATCTCTGCTCTTAAAAGAAAAATAATGCATTTTAATAGTTGCAGCATTGCACAAACCCTGACAAATATCAGAATAGTGACCAGGCCATTAGAATTTAAGAGAGAGAAAAAAATAGCATTGGTCAAATTCTAAGTGTCTGTGATCCACTCTTAATGAATGCAAGTCTAAACAATGAACTCACTTGCTGGTTCTTAACGTTATGTTTATTTGATTTAATAATCAATATAGTACTATAAAATTGTTCAGTATTACCGTTTTGCTACAAAGAATGAGATTGCTACAGTTAACTGGGATATATATAGTCTTACTGTGGGTGTTGAAGTTTAGTATTATTACATGCTAATATTCTTACTCTTTGGTATGCATTCCTTATAATAGAATAAGGAAAAGTTTCAGACATAAAGGCAAAATTAAAATTTAGAGTGTTGGCATTTGTCTTTATCTTGGGGGAATTATTTATTTTGACCATCAGGAACAATTACACTGAGAGGGGAAAACATATACCTCAACCCCAAAAAGCAAATACCCAATTATAGGCCAAATGCAAGACAAAGAAAAAAAAATATATAGAAAATCATCTTGAACTTTACAAAATGTACAAATAACACATGCTCATAAAACATTTAAAAAATAAGTTACATATTGTCTCTGTGTCCTTTTCCCCCTACCAAATACATTTTATACAGGTTGCATTGGAAAGTAAGATTAAGGAACCAAGACAACAACAACAAAAAAAGTAAAAAAAGGAAAATCTAAAAAAAGCCTTCTGTCATTGAAAAAAAGATTACTGATTACGGAGAACATGCAGCATGCCAAAAATGCAACTATATATGATATCTACATTGTTGGTCAAAATACTTATTGAGCTGTGACGTGAACTGGCATCTGAGGAGAATTGCGTCCCATAAGTATGTCATTGCTGGTTTCCATGTAATGTGCTAAGGTGTTTGTGTTTCCAAGCATTCTTTAATTTGCATTTCTCCACATCAACTACTTGGAATTCAGCTCATTAGATTAAACAAAATAAAAAATGGGTAACAGATTTTTTTTTAAAAGCCTTTATGTATAATGCATTTTAAGGTATTCATAAAGTACATTATAATCCGTTATATGTGTTTTTCATGGATTATAATGTATTATGACTGTGGTAACACTTATTAATGAGTCCATACAATGCATTATAGGGTGCAAACAAATGAATTTCAGATGTAAAAATGCTTTTACTGTATAATGCATTATACGTAAAGGCTTTAAGTAAAGTGTTACCAAAAATGAATCCCTTCTCTGACAGAATTATTTCCCATGTACTCGTACACCCCTTGATTTTCTATTTAAATTTCGCATCAAATTATTATCTGAATTATTTTTATCACTCAGTATGGAATATCAGCATTTTTGGCAGGCATTATATAAACATTTTTACTTTAGATTGTATGCAAATTTGCACAAGTTTGTATCTTGATTTATGGATGTTTCGATATTTTTAGACAAAATAATAATACAACTATTTTATTTTGTAGTGCTCTCATGTTTGACTTTTTCATATTTTTGTGGATGTATATTTATAGTTGAGCATTTGCTTATCTTCAATATATCACCAAAACATTACTAGTTGAATCGTCCACCATACGTTTTCGCAACATTTGTTCAAAAATTAACAAAACGTATATTTGCTACTTTTAAAGATTTGACACAAATAAGATTTAAAATAAAATACAGTGCTTTCCAGATGACACATACTTTCACAGAGATCATAGCGACATATGTGTGCTTTCTGAGGATAATTTCGTAACAGCATAACATTTATTTACAAGGCACTGAACTTGGCACGTCATACAAAGTTTTGGGGAAAAACAGTTTGAATGTAATTGAACTTAAAACATCAAGTTTGACAGATCTAAACATCAGTATTCTGGAAACTTTTGTCCAAATGCATGTAAGCGGTATGCATGTGCCTCACTTTTGTCTGTATGCCACAGGATAATAACCATAGCTATTTACAACTTTTAAAAAATAATAAATAAAAGATTTCCAAGCTTCAGTGCGTGAATGGTGCCATTTTTTTTTCTTTTTGTCGGTCTCTCACTCAGTAGTTCATTCACACTAAACAAAAAATAAAAAATAAAGAGCATATATAATTAATTTTTATATGTTGTCATATCTTTGTTTCTATATAATTTATTTACACTAAGTGGATCTCAACAGAGTTTGGTGATCTGAATACAAAGTCATACATTGTCAAAATTCGGTGTTTTAAATTATTAAAAGTCTGATCAGAAACTTAGATCTTGTCATTAGGTCACAAAGCATCCCAGCTGTTATGTTAAATAATTTTCAAAAATATGGAACTTGTTCTATTTTACAATATATGGACATTCATATATTAAAAAAAAATGTTGTGTTCAGCCTCTCAACAATTGTGAATTGATTCAATGTAACAGTAATTTTAGAAGAACCACTGATTGATTTACGAGCATGGGCATTTTAATCTAAAAACTGTCGACCATTATTTTCATAAATATCTGGAAAATGTATTATCTCTGAGGTTAATTATTTCCCCCTAGAAATACATTGCAGAAAAGGGGAAATTTCTTTCTTTCCAAAGCAGATTACTGGCCCACATTTGCTGTCATGTTTATTCTCAACATTTATTTGCTCCCTCCAGTTTTCTGTGAAACTGACAGAGCATTAAGTGACCATGAACCATAGCATATTTCATATTTAACTAGCATTGTCCTGAAAAGCACTGCTGCAACGATTACAGCACTGAATCAGCAGCTTTAAATGAGGATGGACAGATCTGTCATCAAGCGGAAGCCTAAATCATGGAGACTAATGCTCATTGTGATATCTCCAGGATTTCTTTACCATCGAATGGTGCATAGTGGTTTCACTTGTTCCCTGAACAGTCATTTGTAGAGTTCATTTAAGGCAGAGTTAAATCTTAAATAGACTGGCAAAGACTTCCACTGTCAAGCAAAAGAAAAAAAAAGAAGAAAAAAAAGTAAAAGCAAATCATTTTCATTCCTTGCAAGAACTATTCCTTGCGGTGTTCCACAAATTATATCCACAGAAAAAACACAAATCAAAAGTATTGCTTTCCTAAGGGCCTTGTCAAAGAGAAAGATACAACACAAATGCAAGCACACAAACAATAAAACATTTGTGTGGTTAGTGGTTATTTAACAAACTTAGATAAGTGGTGTACATAATAGAATTATAATGTAATTTTATCTATGTATATAATAGAATTATAATGTAATTTAATCTATGTACATATGCATACACACTCTTGTGTGGGTGTAGAATACATGTGCATGTAGGATAAATCTGACATCATTTTGTCATTGCAAATTCCATCTCCAAATTAAATCATTTGGAATTAAGTCACATAGAATCACATACTTTTACACATACGGCTTGAGACATTTCAAGCTATTATTCAAATCATTGGACCAATAATTGTCTGTTCAAGACTGGACTTTGCAGCTGATTGATATTTTGGCAGACAAATTACTCTGTGAAATGTTTTATTTAGTTCCAAAGTGTCGCTTAAAACTGTAGACCATTTCCTTAGGCTTGGTATAGTACACAGCTTTCACACTGCTCCACATGGAAAACAGAAAAAAAAAACATAATAATAATAAAATAATACGCCCTGCAAAACCCCTCAAAAAGTGCTTTCATCTTTTTTTAGACTAATTTGATGCCTTTGAGACCTTTCCCCAAACTAGGACAAGGGAATCCACCTAAAGTTTTCACTTCTTCTTTCTTTTTGGCTTCCACTCATTCATTTCTCTCCACTGTTCCTAGACTGGTGAAAGATATTCTGCATGATTGTGATGGTTTTTACTCCTTACAGGTGTAAACCTCTTCTCTTTGTGTGCACTGTTTGCATTCAACATAGCAGCACCAGCGCACCTGGCACTGGCACGGTCTCGTCACCACTCGGCTCTGAGTGTTGTGCCCCCTGCCACAGCAGATGGCCTCGCAGTTCTTATCCTTGTAGCATTTGCGGGTCGAGGTGCCTGCTGAATATTTGCTAAGCTTGCAAAAATTCGGCGAGTCCTCAATGTGAAGAAGATCGGGGGTGCGGGGAATGAGGTCCGGTCGAGGGCCTGGAAGGGACTGTTGCCCCTGGGATCGGGTCTGGGAGATTTCCCCCTCCCCAGTTGCCTCATTGGTGGAGCTGGCAACTTTGACTGACGTCTCGTAACGCTGTTTGAGCTGCTTACCAATTTCATGAAAGGGTGCCAGCTGCCTCCAGCATGTTTGCACGGTACACGAACCTGAAACTCCGTGGCACTTACAGGTGGTCTCCACCCCAGCCTTGATGACCTGTGCGGGACAAATGTTAAAAGAAGTTAGACGACGCACATCAAAGGTATAACAGTTTTACCAAACATCAACATTTATGTCTTCAATTATCTCAGCAGACACAGCACAGAGCTCAGCTGCAATACATGAAAGACACAGTAAGTGCAGTGTTTACCAAACCCTTATGTTACCCCTTATATTGAAAAATCTTTAAAGGTCAGTTAAACTGATGGGCAATACTATTTACAAAACAAGTATTTCAAAAGCACATGGAGGCAATAACTTTGATGTTCCCACATAATTTGATTGCTGTTACCCTTTCTAAGACCGAAAAACAATATAATGCAGGGCACCGAGGAGTAGGTATTATCCTCATTCTTACTTAATTGCCATAATTATGGCCTTATCAAAAGCCGCATCGGCTGTCATGAAATATCTGTGCTTTAAACAGTCAGTTTTACAAGGATGCACTTTTAAAAA